GGGGGGGTCATGATGTGGCTACTGTATTAAACTGTATACACAGAGGTAAGTTTAGGAGACATATAAGCAAACGAAAGTAGGCATTCACTCCGGAAGGATGCATATTACAGGGAGTTGGAGCAGAGAGTGGATTGCATGTTTGTAATTATCGCTTCTTTTCCATGCAACTGATTTAAAAGACAAGCACAAGACAACATAAGACAGTCAATCACAATGCTCCTGGCTACCGTCACAACCAACCCACGATACAAACTCCCTCTATTTCCCCAAAAATTTGAATATTTAATTTCATGGAAAGGCATCCTTTGAGGAAATAGTAGTTTATTGCGTAAATTTTCGACACTGGATCCCCAGTTCGTCATCAGACTTAAGAGAAAGGCGTAAATTCGACACTGGATCCCCAGTTCGTCGTCAGACTTGAGAGAAATTTGCAAACAACAGAAAACAACAACTGTTGTTTATAAATATTTAACTTTGTCGATGTTCGTGTTCGCAACATATTAGAAACATGAATGATGTTTATTGGACCTGTTCTGAGGCTGCACTTGACAAGGACGGCCTTTTTCTATTCGGTGGTATCACGAACATCATCGGACTGGCAATGAATCTTGCAGTCTTGACGCTTCTCTTTCTTCTTAAAAGCAAACCCAAGATATTTATCTTCCAGCTGCGTGCTTTGATCGCATCCAACTTCCTCTGCAGTTTAAACAGGATCTCTAAAGACTACCTACCCGAAAATCGCCTTCACCATCCACCTCCATTTGGCTGGGTTGTGTGCCATTTGTGGACGAGCAATTATATCTTGTTCGTGTCCTACCTGTTTACGATTCTTATCCTCAACTTCACAGTGGGAGATAGAGCCATTCAGATCGTCTACAAATACCAGTACTCCTTCTCCACATCGCTGACGTCGCCTACTTTGTTGGACTACGCCTAGTTAGCATCATTTTATACTACCTCAGGCATTGATCTTTCAGTGGGATGGTGAAACGTGTACTTGTCTTGAGGGAGACCTGCCCTATGCTGTTGTCGTATCTAAATACGCTGCGGTTTTTGTTCGCTTTGGTGTGAGTGGACTCATAAGCGTCACCATCCTTAGCGTCACCGGAGCAGCTTTTCGATACATGGAACCTTCCGTCTCTGCCTGACACTACGAAGAAACAGATGAAGGCATTCAGCCTAACCCCCAGGTTGGATGACGGCAACCCTCGGTACCGTACCCTTTTCGATCATTTCCTTGGCAGTCAGCCTCTACCAAACAGGGTACAGATTCGCCTGCGCCGTGAGCTGGTGCAAAATACACTTGGGTGCTCAGTGGTATAAAATAGACCGATTTCTGACGGACATTCAAGTGGTCGTCTTACCCATTATAGTCATCGTCTTCATTCCCGCATTGAGAGAATTGACGGTGGGTGTCTGTCAAAAAGTCGTCTTTAGAGGACGGAGATTATGCATGAAACGGGGCATGGTGGATAATCGCGGCGATCAAGTCTCACAAATAAACTGGAAATGAGCTGCCATATCTGGTGACTGTTTTCCTCTGCCATGATGAATGAGTCCATATTGTTTGCTGAAGTTTTTGTTATTTCCCCTATGTTTGTAAGCAGTCTCTCGGCGACACATCTAAGAATCACCAATTCCATTGAAAAGACTGCTTATACCCACAATCAGTACATTAGTTTTTTCCTGTTGAATACTGGACACTAATTCAGACTCTTGTAGAAGATGTCAGCCCATCTTTAAATGGTATCTTTCATCAGCGTCCTGTCCCCTTTGTTTTTAAATAAATGTCATTTTGCAACGCCATAGTTCATGCCTTGTAACTGTATCGTACATATCGCCACCTTTGGAGCTCTTTGTTAGACTTTTTCATGACTTACAATTTATTTCCATTTTCTTTTAAAAAGGAAACTATTAAACAGTAATTTTGCCCCCACGATGCAGTCTGGTTTAATTTTTGAAAAGGAGTAGCAACTCCGGAAGTATATAGTTTAATAGTGACGACGATTATCGGCTAATCATATAATCAGTATGAACACTTACGCAGTCTAGCATAATTGAGGCTATTACAAACTGTCCACTTAGTTACCTTAAAAGAAGAGGGGTGAGAGAGACGGGGAGGGTGGTATTTATAAGAAGGATACGTACACCTCTAACTTTAACTTTCCCCACTGCAACTGTACGTTCGCCACACGCATCGGTCTGGTGGTTCCCTTGCGAATCCACCGAACAGGGGCTGGCGGACCGCTGCCTGATGCACCAAACCCACATTTCATGAATGCCTGTGCAAATTCACTTACCGCATTGGCCTAGTCGACTACCTGCGCATCCTCAAAAACCTGCGGCAGATTGGCGCCGGTTACACCACACAGATACATCATTCCGTACTAGCACCTACTCCAAAATATCAACATCTCCAAGTCCACATACCGCGTGCTCTCAAAAGCATCTCTCAATTGGGCTTCTTGTGCATGTGACTTTTCCATGGCTTGAAAGATGGTCATCTGACGTTCCCACGAGACCAAGTCATCAGCGCTACATGTGTGTGTGTGTCTGTTGAGTGGTTGACCAGTGTAACGAACCGAGGATTAAGAGGTTGGCACACACACACGGCACGACCTGAAGACGCCCCTCGCAGCGGAAGCTCTGAACTGGATTAACAAGCGTCATCCAAGCACAGAAGTGTGAAGGTTGGTGTAAAATAGAACAATAATATATAAAAACTAGTCTACTAGTAATAAACGTAAACGTACAGAATAAGAAGATAAAATGTACGGAACAATGATGTTACATAGATACAAGTCCCGTTTGGAGTGTTATCTGATGTCCATGCGATCACCGGTGGGGAACGCAGCGCTGGAGGGCAACCGCCGGGGTGGGACGTGGGAGTGCTGACATAGAGCAACGGTAAACGGAACGATACGTTACGGGGTGGGAAGTCAGTGATTTTGGAGGCTGAGGGGCAACGTCATTTTGGCAGACATTTGATCACAGCGCTTCTGTTATAGCCCAATTAGTTCGGCGTCGTCAGTTGTTATAGCCCAGTATTTCGAACCCTGCTAATAGGCAGAAGAAGCCAAGTGAGTGGTTCTCATAGCAAGCCTTTATTCAGCACGGTACAGAGACAATGGAACGGAATTATCCTGTCCACCACAACGTATTATAAGGCTTCGGTCCTC